TTTCTCCCATTCCGCTCCTTTTTCTCCAATCCCGGTGCGTATCCCACGTACCTTTTTTCTATTCCCGTAGCCCGATCGTTCGTCGAACGCTGCCGACACACGACGCGCAGATGATCGATGGGATCCCCGAGCGCGATCCAGAAGACGGGGGGATCCTAGGATGAACTAGACGAAATAGGGATGATCGTTTATTGATGGCGCGTCGAGTGCCTCTGGAGCTGCTCTTGAATTGATAATACCGGGAATTAACGTCACCAAGGGTAGAGGTTTAAGGAGCCAGGGTTGATGCTTGAGAGCTTCCAGTCGAGGCTTCACAGTCCTAACGTCAGAAGGTGCGAAGGATTAGAAAATCGTGGAAAATACTACACTGACGTACTTTTAACAAACGATCGAGTTAGATAAACTAAAATTTTTATTTCTTATATAGTGTAATGTTATATTATTTCTTACATAGTGTAATGGTCCATTTGTAAAGCAATTCGATTGATGCACATAGCCACGATTGATTCGAATAACTCAGTGTCGTTGTGGTTGATGGCACGTTGTTTTTTAATCCTGGCTCTTCGATTGTTCTCCATCCATTATTCCCGAGCAAGTGGTTTTCTGCCTATTCTAATTGCGCCTCACGTATTTCATCCGGATAGATGAATTTCTTAAATCATCCGTTTGCTCCTTCGTACAGCTTCCTTCTGGCATTCTGTTCTAATTGCACCGCACATATTTCATCTCCGGGACAAATATCTCCACGCGAGTCGCGCAATCGAGCAGAGAGATGGTGCCTTTTCTACTTGCCCTTTGAAACGGCGAACCTACGCGACCTGTCTCCCCGATTCCGATCGTCAGCCACATATATCATCCGTGACAAATATTTCCTCCTGATGCACGTACGATCTTCGGTATCTTGCTTCTCTGTCCGTTCTCTGTGTTCCATATATTTCTTGCAATTTATGTAATAGAATTATACGATAATAGATAAATTTATCAAGGAAAATTAATTGTACTTTAATGGATAGTTGGACTTCTTTTCTCCATTGACTTTGGTGCTCCCTTCCTTTTTTATTTTTAATAGGACGTTAATCGACTAAGGTTGGACGAAATTCTTTCTTGGTAAGCTTTATGTATCCATTTCTGCGTTATTTCCACATATTAAACATATATCATTATTATTATTTTACATAATATAACACCGAATATATATTCTATTAAACATAAATACATATTGAATTTATCTCGCTCGTGCAGATGCGTTTGCAGCATTACTCGGCTACTCAGAGGAGAAGCTAATCCGGTAAAATAACCATAGTACGATTACGGTAATTTTCGATCGCGTTTGTTCGCAAACTGGTTTCCTAACACTGGAACATGCTAAATGCATCTATGATTACTACGCCATCATCCTCGTTACAAACTGAGTTAAACCTTTCGCAGTATTCGACTCTAATGCACTGTATATGCAGCCGCCATAAATTACTCGGTGGTTATACAAATCGGCAGACTGTGTCGAGATCCAATTACTTAGAAATCTCCTCTATTTCTTCTCGCACCGTAGATTAAAGAATACATCATTTTAGATCTCGCGCGTTACCGATTAGCCATCTAACTTATGTCAGATATATTATGAGTTGCAGCAAAATTCGATTCGACGAATGATCCCATCCCGCGAAATTAAGTTCTACATGGAATCGAAGAGATAGACGCGAGAGAGGGGACAAGTACAAGAAACACAGAGGAGTCGCAGAGATGAGGAAGCAAGGCGACTTTAGCGTGCGAGCTTACTTATCAAAACGATACAATTACGACGCGGTAGTCGCCGGTTTTGCATAATGCATATCGAGCTACGGAGTAATGTTCAGAGCACGCACCGTGGTGGCACTAATTTCCGTGAATCCAACAGCGCCAGGAAGCCTTTCTTGCGCGGCCGCTCGAGGAGAAATAACCACGTAGTCACATCGGTGATTAGTGATGGGACCGATCACGGAATCATCCAACATCTCAATCTCCACCGAGCGATCTCTTCTAAAATATCTTCGTATCTCCGAATCTTCATATTTTTCCTCTCTTATATTATCATACCACGATGTCTCTTCAGAGTCTCCGGCCATGAGATTCCCAAACTCCCATTTTTCCATGTTCCAAAAGTTCGCTGTACATTCCTGTATATCCATATCTACCTAAATTCATACGCCCTTCAGCTTCCATCTTCTAGAATTCCTTCACTTCCCTATCTCCATACCCATATACCCATACATCTCCAAGTTTCCTGCCCAGAACACGTATCTTCCACGATTCCGCAGTATGTCTAGCTCCGTTCCTCTATATTCCCATAATTCTCCTTGGCTCGTCAGCTTCATCTACGATAGTAATGTTACAGTGTATCAAAATATGCTGCTAAGGTACGGTTTCCACAGCGATATCAAACGACTTACGTAGAATTTCGATATTTCGTCGCAAGAACGTGCTACCTCGCCGGATTTTGGTCAGCGTGACGCGCGAGGGTATTGGTCCCATCGCTATCAGCGATGATCGGCAAGCGCACGGCAGGCGGTCGGCTTCTTTCCCGCAGCTTCTTCCAGGGCGACTCTCGATCCATGTTTCATGAGGCTCCTCGTGCTCGAACTAGAGAGAGGGCCGGCCACGTACAGGCACTTACAAGCCGAGGGAGGCAGGCCGCTGCTCTGAATCACGGGCACCTAGGCGATTCTTTGTGATCGATGCTCTCGCGACACCACGGCGCCACCCTTACCTTTTTCTTCTCGCGATTATTATTGTCTTTATCTCCAGAGAGTGGGGAAGCTCGTTACGGACCTTCCACGAGGGCTGATCGAATCCGCCAACTTCATTTGCGTCGGATATTACACAGCCGGGTCGGAAGTATGGATGGCTCTTGTTAGATAAGGAGATAAAGAGATTAATTAATACCAAATCTCTTTGGTTCCGACAGGTTTCATCCTGGAGCTCCGGACCTATCCGATCTCTCGGGAAGATTTTCATCCACCACGTTAATTGCATTTTTTTGTATTAAATATGAAAGTTTCGGATATTTACGTATAATAAATTTTATTTTCTATAATTAAGGTTAAGTTTGAAAACAGAAATTGAGAAAATTAATCTTCTTCGATACGTAGAACGCCTTCTTTTTTTCAACGAGAGCAATCTAACCTAGAAAAAATAAAGTAACGATTAAATTCTTTAATAGTTAAAAAAAATATTATTTCTTCCATTAAAAATTACAAAAATTAGAAAATATTAAAAAACTGACTTAACCGTACTATCTTCTGAGTGACTCGTATATTGAAATAAAGACAGATCGAATCTGCCCAAATTCAGAATGTCGGTAACTTATTCACCTAAGGCTACGTCGCAATCTGAAATAAAGAAGATACATAAGAAGATACGAGGACTATTTCGATTCTTATAATTTTTCTTCATTTTTATAACCTCATTGTGGTAGAAAATAAATTTTCGCCAAATCGTTTCCTCTTTTCCCCGAGCCGACAAAGGGATAAGTCGCCCCAGGCAGCGAGGTAAAAGAAAAATTCGCGCACGAAACGTGCGTGCACGGTTGCAGTGGCCGCGATGAATAATGGACAGGCGGAACATTTCGTCGGGGATGTCGTGCGGACCGAATTCGTAGAAGAGGATCGTCCCATACACGCGTCTACTGCGAAATACAGGTGCGTACGGGCAATATAATCCCGGAGATTTCAGGGAATCATCGATGAATTCGACGAAGACTCCTTTGCGGTGGATGGCGAAAGGGTTGGCGTGACTTACGTTCGCCACGTGTCCCAACGCGTGTTTGCGAAACGACCACCGATCTGCGCTCGTTTGTCATGGCCGATCGACCATCGGTCCGCTTAAGTAACAGACCGTAGATTTCCTGTTATCACCCACTGAGTTCTTGGTAATCGAGTCACTTTCGGCGGCCTGGGCGAAATTAAATTACTCCAGAATTAATTTCCTTCGCGATCCTGTTTTGCGTAGTATCCGTCGGTACTGAAAGACTCAAACGACATCTTCCATCGAAAGGTGGAAACATGTGTCAATAAACTCGTATTTACGTATCTATCAATATCGATTAAATTGTATAATTTTCAAACGAGAAGATGACGCTATAGATATCAGTAACGCACCACGGAAAGCACGAATGAAAAATTCGTCCGACAGGAAGCCAATGGTGCGTTGTTTCAACTGGTGCATTCTTCGATTCCCGATACAGCGTTCCGCGATGAGAGAAATTTAAACGAAACATGGAACGGGGTCAGGAACTGATGTTCGTGTAAACGCGGAGCTAGGGTTCGTCAAGTGGAAACTCGCATTAATCCGTGGCTCGCTACTCAGTTGGTACGTACTGCGACTTTTTTTTCCACCGAATTTTCTCTGTCATTTTTTCGCTATCCCTTTTTCGCTTCATTTCTCTTTCGAACAGGCTATACCATCTTACCAGCTATCACGATGGCATACGACTAAACAAACTGTTCCGTAGAACGGACTGATACGCCGGGAAATGTCTATATTGTGTGCTTGATAGATTCGAGATAACTTAGATAATACATCTCATTTGCTATACCTTTGGCTAACTTTTCTTTTTCACCTTTTTTTTGGTGCTGCAACTTTTACTTGTTATCGATATAGTTGCACTTCTACTAAAATTTTTAAAAGTTCACATGCATTACCATTAAAATTCACTAGTTTTAACTTTTTAACAACTTTTCCATTTCATACTGGTGATTTAATTTAACGGAAAGGTAATGGAACGGAAATGTGGCACCATCTAGATATAGGATAATAAAGTCGTTTAATTTCGTAGCTAAAATCATTACCCACTTTATCTTTAAATTTTTAATGAAATATAAGTATAGAAGAAATTTGTTTTTAAAACTGAAAAGACTTTATTTAACTTTTGAAATGAACAACTCTTGAAAATCATGATAATTATTTCTGAATTTCAAGGTGTGGCGCGCATGACATGATCGAGGCAGCACAATCGATTTAGCAACTGTCTCTACCTATTTTTGTAACCTCAAAGTTGCGCATGGATGGTGTGCATATCAAAAAAATTTGTGTGTTAAATTTTGGTACTGGAAAAGGGAAATGAGCGATGCCGAACTTCAGGAAGAAGAAAGAGAAGTTCTTCTTTCGATTTATGATGGAGATCTGGCTTTTAAACAGTTGACACCCACTACATTTCAATATAAGGTTTGTCCACACAAATAGCAAAAATTTGTATCATTAAATATTTCTAATTCAGACTTTATTATACTTCGAATTACAATCTTTACGTGTATATAACATTGATTTTATGTGTAGTATGGAGAGGATAATGATATGAAATCGTTTTTATTGGAAATCTCATGGGGCACAACCTATCCTTCGGAGAAGCCTACTATTAATATGAATACCTTTTATAACAAGCATATGTAAGTCCAACTATGTTGTTTTCTGACTATTCTTGCATTCTGTTGCTTTCATTAAAGGTGAATGATTGGAATACAGTGTGCAAGAAGTAAAAGACAAAGTGGTCCAACATTTGGAAGCAGAGGCTGATCAATGGTTGGGAAGTGCTATGACTTACACATTGTTTCAATCTGTACAAGAACATTATGCCAAGTTAATCTCCGCGCAACCAGATTCTATTGTTGACATAAATTCGCAAACCAACCAGCTTAAGATAGCAGATGAACATCATGAGGTAAGAAATAATTATGTTAAATTGTAGGTTTATTTAGAATACATGAAAAAGAACCAATTTATTGTGCAAAGTCGGAAGAAACAACAAAAAAGCCAAAGAAGGAACATCTGACTAAAGCTCAAAAGCGTAGACAGTGGAATAAGGCTGATGGAAAAGGAGAAAAACCACGAGGATGGGACTGGGTGGATATAGTAAAACATTTATCACAGACTGGCCCTAAGCAAGAGCACGAGTCTTAGTTCAACTTCATTGAAATATTTGTACAGGTTAAAGGCATGTTATATTTTTATAAATTATTGGAAATAAACTGGTTTCCATATCGGTTTTACTATAATATAATAACCTATGATAAAAATTTGTAAGAAAATATTTATAAATAATTTTATCTCATTGCCAATAAATAGTTACAAGATATGCAAATAAAATTACTTAAATAATTAACAATTATAAAATTTTATCAAGATAAATAATATCGAAGGAGCATCAATTTTAATGTTCAATATTCATGCTCTTTTTTTTTGTCATTTTATGACTTTTTATAAAAATCTCCAACCTGCTACTGGTAACAGATTAGGTTCTGTTATCCATCCTGAAAAGCAAAATTTATGTGAATAAAAAAGGTACAAAACTTTTATCTCGCATGAACAAAATCATTTACCTTTATTTTCAAGCTCACTTATGAAGGCTTTGTATTCGCCAGAAATCATTAAATTTGTCGCGTAAATGCTCTCTATGGCCTTTGACGACTGTATGCTATTGTTTGTAGTAGAGTATTTCTTATTAAGTACATAAAGTCGCATTAAAGGATACGATAGATCGCTTACTTCGGGTTTTAAAAAAACATCCTGAAATAACATGATTAAAGAATTAAAAGATTTCAAAATATAAGGACAAGTATTTATCTACATATTGTACTTACGAGTGGCACTTTCAAAGACATACAAATAAACAAGCCACAAAGACAAGCATGGAAATATGCTTCCAGAACGTCATAAGGTTGCGCGTCTTTCTTAAGGCATATAAAAATAGTTCTGTTTTGTACATCAATAGAAATCAAGTATTTTCTATCTAAGAAAAGTTTCAATGATAATTCTGTATCACTTGTTAAAATTATATCTTTTTTTATAAGAGCCGCGAGTGAGACACCTATTTTTATATTGAATCCACATATACTCATTGCTGTAAAGAAATAATTAGTAAGAGCGATAATCTGTATCGATTTAATATATAAAATTGAAATCATATATTCTTACTAGGTTTTGTTAACAAGAATACCGATTCCTTTTTGTTAACTTCTTCGGGTTTGGGAATGACTTCATTCGAGATATAACTTTTTATTATTAAAGCTAAACGATCTTCGTTTAAAGAATTTAAGCATAATGCTTTTACCGCCGAGTAATTTGCATACAGATGTACTATCACGAGGAAGAGATAGAGTTCCATTATGTATCTACATGCAGATTATATATACTATAGGTATACCAAGACTATCGTTAACACATTTTTCACAAACTTAAAATCACTCATTGCAAGAAAAATAAATACACTTAAAAGATACTTACCGGCCATTGTGAAAAATTGAAAGTATTAAAATACCAACTAAAGATGCTACTAAATTTATACATGTCTCTTGACTCGCATCTTTAACTGATACGTCTGCCAAATTATTTTGTAATGCCTGTAATGCAAATCAATGTTCCCTTTTATTGACTAAAAAATCCAAATTTATTTTTAGGGTTTTTGTACCTGATGCTGTGTAAGTGCTGCTCTTGTTGCCCCTCCAGCAACACCGACAATTGATTTCATTGCTGTTGAAATGCACAATATTCCAAGAGAATAAGAGGAGAAATAAGGTAAGAGTAATTCTAATCCCATTGCTATATCATTAAGAATATCAGCAAAGAGTCTCCATTTTTTACATTGCCCATCTAAATCTGTCCTAATGAATGGAAAACAAATGCAGCTTTTGTAGAGACTAATTGAAAGTAGCAAACTTATATATACAATTTTATTTACCCATTCCACCATGCAAATACAATACGACCAACCATTCCAGTACCATCTTTTAATATCCATGTAACTGCTGCTGCTAACGGAGTTGCTGCAGCCTCACCTACACCTACCCCTTGCATGATAGAATGTGTTGTGAGAGTACCCATTATGGTACTTGCAAATGCCTATAATAAATAAAAATAGTATTACAGATCTAACTTCATTTATAAACAATAGTATTATTTTGAAAATAATATTTTTATGTAAGCTAACCTGTACTGTATCCCATATTTGATAAGGAGTATAATCAGGGTGAACGCTGTCGGGATATCCTTGAGGTAAAAATATCTCTTTTACAATCGATATGAAACCAAAATAAAAAGACTTCGCTCTAGTTGTGTCTGATAACAGTTCGGTTATCGATTGCTCATCTACAAACCAAGTGAAATGATAGGTTAGGTGAACCAACAGTGACGTTCGGTATGTCAGAATACAGTTACCTTTCGATTTGACGAAAAACCTGTGTTTCTCACTCCCGTAGGCCTCGGTGAATAGTAATCGTTCATGCATCTTGAAGTGCACCGAGATTATTTTGGTTTGATTTGAATGCGCCGTATGACAACATATGCACTTTTATTAGCGATCATAGACGCTATTACATCCACCCGCGATTACACCTGCACATGAATGCAACAAAATTCCCTAATATTCTATACAAAAAGAATTTCTTAATCAAATCTTTTTCAGGTGAAACTCCAGTAATGTATAAATATATACGAAAAAGACAACAAAAGTACAGTCCTATTTTACACAAATCGATATCATCTTTTAATGTGAAAAACTTATTAGAATAGAATTTGCTGTTAGTAGAAAGAAAAATTTAATTATTCAATTTGCACATTTTATTTTTGTAATTTTTTTGAGATATCTGAATTCGGGAAAATCAACGAAATATCTTCGATTATACCATTCAGTTCAACTATACAAGCATCCAGTCTCTTTTTTACATTTTGTGCATCAAATCTTACGTTCTTATATAAATTAATTTTTTTAATTGTATCATGAAAGTCGGAAATTAAATGATTCCCACGAATTTCTGCACCATCACTCATGCGACTTATCGAGTATTTAAAAGATTTACGTTCATCTTCCGTATTTTTTGGTAGTTTCATGTTGTACTCAGCTAATTTGTTATCATCAATTTTAGTTTTTTGAAATATTTCTTTTTTAGATTCAGTTTTGATTAATTTACATATCTGATTTGTTTCGACACGTGCTAGGTTATCTTCGCCATGTGTATGAGCTTCTATTTTGAAAATTTGATTATTCTTCTGTTCCTTGATGTTTGTTAACTTTGCTTCTTCTATATTAGGATTAAAAGTTGCGTGAATATTAGTATTCGATGAAAGTTTCGACTTTTTATTGGGTTTTAAGGAATCGTTCTTCTTGTTATGTGAATCTGGTTTAAAACAATTTAAAAATGTACGTTTTCTTTTACGTTCCATTATAAAATCACACTGATCCTCTTCAAAAATTTTTATTCGACATTCCTGTATAGCCACAGAAACAGGCTTCTAATCTGTTATTTGTAATTTTTCATTTATAAAAACGTCGTTTAAATGAGTTGCATAGTTACATATTTCATTTGTAAAATTATTTTCAAAAAAGTCTGTTAGAACTTTTGACTTTTTCAAACCAATGAGTTTATCGAATTTTACATTTCTTTGAGGAGTGTAATGTTCGCAACAAGAAGGCAAATGTTCGCAAACAGTTTAAAACAACTTGTTTTCCCGATTAATGTCAACATTTTTAATCGCACTGACCTCTTTACGCAATTGTAAAATTTTTAGATTAGCAGGAGTTACAATTTTTGCGATTTTATTTAAATTGACTTCTTTATCTTGAATTCAGCAATAACAACGATTTAGCGGTGCATTTTTCACATTTATTGACATTTCTATGAATATTTTTATGTGACAACATAATAGTATATGTTCAAAATAAAATGCATATAACCATCAAATATTTCATCTTGTAATGTGAAAAAATCATTTTTTCTCCTGTGATATTGAATATTCACATTTTTTTCTTTCGATAAAATTACAGGTTATGTTTCTTGACATTATCGTGAAATAACTTCAGGTTTGCGCGTGATTCATCTGTTCTTGCATTTAATTAAGACTGAAATAAATATATATTTTTGGAATTAGCAAATATGCCACATATTTTATGAGGTATAATATGTCTGAAAAGTATGTGAAGGAGATTTTAGAAAAGCTTGAAGAAATTGAGAAATTACACGCAAAACTGCGCTGTTTGGTGCCCCGTGTAAAAAGTTATGAATTAAAAGACGTAGAGATTAAACAGTCTGTTATGAGAGAAACAAATAGAATTGATACAAATTTACCGGAACAAAAACCAATCGACTTTCATCGGAGATCGGAAATTATTAGAAATATCCAAAAAGATTTGACAACGAAAATAAAAAATTTATTCGATCCAAACTCAAGCACAATGAAATATTTCAAAAAGTTTAAAGACCATTCTAGCAACAAGTGGAAAAGATTTAACAATTTTTTGACAACTATATACGAACCTGATATTACATTTGGTACTACTTAGTTTAATATTGAAAATAATATTAAAAATAGATTAATTCAATTGGGTATTACAATCGTTATCACAATTTCCAGTAAGCAGAGCCTCACAAGTATCGAATAGTGATCTATTAAACATAATTTCAAAAAATACATCTACGATTTTTTCTCCGAAAAAGAAGCAATCTAAAAAAAGGAGATCCACGCTGCAAGAAATGTCAGAACGGTTACTAAAGCGTTTTGGTTATTTTTACGATCCTAACCTAGTAAATGAGAGTACAATGTCGATACATGATCATGGTTTAGGTAAAAATGAACCTCGTATAGTGCAGAGAACTTCAATCATTCCAGATGGGAAAACTGAAACAATAAAAATCGTCTCGTCCGCGAGAACAGTTTCGGTAGAAAATAACAAGAAATGGTCTTCATCAGGCAGTTGAACGTAAATTATCAGGAAATGTATTGACATCCAATTAGAACTATAAGCGTTTCTTTGACAACCTCTAATTATTATGAATAATATTTATAACTTCATGATTAATTCTCTCGAATTGTAATAAAAAAAAGAAAAAATAATAACGCATAAAATGCAAGAAAATTCATATTATATAATTTATTACGTATACACACAACGTATACACAACACGTTTGTCTATGTTTTTAAAATTTATCCCTGGTGTGTGGAATATTTTATGTCACTGCACTATACTGCCATCTGAACTTGGCCCGAGAATAAACATTGCTATGGTGGCAATCGAAGTGGCCCAATGGGAAGAAACGGAAATGTTTGAAAGAAACCTTACAGTGCGTGGGCCGACAGATGGGGGCACCGGAAAGGCGGGTTCCACCGGAAGTCACGAAGGTTCAAACGTAACATTACGATCACGAGTAAATCCTTCGATCGTGCTTTGTTTAATTCCCGATTAATCAAGTACGTTTGCAAAACGAAAGAAAACATTCCTCAATTTGCATTCAATTTTTATAATTTAAGATTTCATTCTGTATCCAATTTTTTTTTTATAAATTGGAATAGTTGCAGACATAACCATCAATAATTGTTTTACGAAAAATTTTTCCCTAAAGGTAACGAAGAATCAAAATAATTTTGTAATTCAGACTCTTTGTAATTTCAGTTCTTAATTGTTTTAACAAATAGAAATAATATTCGCGGAGAGGATTTTCAACGAGGTTTAGTTGTTGGATATGCTATGTCCCTGCCTCATGGGGTAGAAACCAATCGAGGACCCATCTCATGAGCCCTGACGGCAGATACTTTATGCACATCCGTACTGCTATCCATACCGCCGTGTATGCCCAGGTATCCTGGACGACTAGGGTCGGCAGACCCTCGTCTTAACACCGTGAATCACCATCGGCCTGACCACGTTCCAACGAATTCGGCGCATGTCTCAGGTAGATAGAGACTCGAAAGAGTTCTGAATCCGATTCGGGAGAGTGATTTATGGAAAGATGAAGTTGTTGACTGTACGGAAGTGCGTAGTATAGGTTAGTCGATTCTTTCGAGTATCGCGAAATAATTATATTCTAATATAGCAATTATTAAATTATATTAAGGGTTCGACAATGGATGAAGTGGACGATGCTAATCATCACCAACTCTAGGCACAATTTCAATTCATCTCGATCAAAATTGTGAATTAAGGATCATCGATTCAGACGGTACATATAAAAAGTAAATTTGATTAGTCCTTGTAATTTGATACTAGTTTTATGTTGCTGTTCAATAACTAATTAATACATATTATTCATGTGTTAATTATTTAATAATAGCTTCGATAGTTGTACATTTTAATATATGACTGCACCGAGTAACTTCCTCGAGTTTCTAAAATGATAATAATTATTCTTATCGAGATGTAATTAGAGATATATAGTAAAACTTCACTGGAAAATATCTCATTTTGTATGATACGATATTTGTTTGTCTTTACGCCAGCTATCGGTTATCAAGGTTACATTTGCATATCCACTTAAGCAAAATAAAAATTTCATTGTTGTACTGCGAATTCATTGTCGCTTACAGTGACTAATGGACTCCAATGACGACCAGGTAAATTGAAGTGTCGTTCCGCGGTTCTCATTATATCGACAACTATTAGAGATCCCGCAAAAAACTGTGTTCGTAACGTGATTTTCTATGGCGTAAAAAGTGGAACTCTGACTTGCACGTAATATATTTTTGCTCGGGGCGATGGACAATCGGCACTGGTAATGCGTTTAACGGGTTTTCCTAGAAAAAAAGACATATTTCCAGATAGAAATATCGTAGATGTTTCCCAATGCTAAAAAGCGACTAATCTCCTTGAAACGAAAAAAGCAAATCGAATCGCTTTACAGCTTAATATTTTAATCTTGATTAGACAAAAAGAAACGTCGTATTAGTATCACTAACCATTCATAGATGGCGCAGCCTCGGTAGTCAATAACCTATCTGTAGCGTATAAAGCATCGCAGAACTGGCGCAAAATAATAGTCCAATAGGTTATACCATATATTCCTGTTCGATTCACCTAAGAAGCATGGACATTAATAACAAGTTTTGAATCATTCCAGACACTCACCACCGTTGAACATATGTCAGTTTGAAACTTAGGGATGTGACAAAGTGTATCACGGTATCAAGAGGATAGCAGAGCTTCGGTCTTGAAAACAAGAAGCGTCCGATAAACAAACCGGCCGCACTTAAGCGAACCGGGTAAAAGTGCGAATAAACGAGCGTACGAAGAGCGTGCCGCCGCCATTCCCCCGTACCCCTTCCTAGCCCTCATGCTCGTTTTCCAGTCAACGACTTCGTCGGATGGTGTTGCGCTTGCGTGCACTCTTGCATGCGGGAAATATGGCGTGCCGCATACACGCACGTGGGACGCAAAGGTGGGGCTGAGCCTTGCAAGCTATTCCTGTACACCATGGAGTCGCAAGTAGCATAACAACGCGGCCCTACTCGACGCTGTGTATGTTTCGTCGCGGCCGAGAGATGGGGTGTTGGACTGATAACGCAACGACATCTTGGAATTCCTCGTTCTACTTTTTAAGACGCAAGATCCAGATTCTAGAAACGTTTAGCAGCTTCCATAGTTGTTTTCACCTATCGTCCAGCGTTCTAAGGAGCTGAAGAGAGAGAGAGATTTACCGACTAGCGCTGAATGTCACGTTAAGAGCCCGTTTCGTCGCTAATCGAGCCAGGAGCGTGCTTGACAATTCCAGGAATTACCGTCACTGCTTCATTGGCCGTTTATGGCGTGAACGGAAAACTAGAGAATTAAGGATATATCTCGAATTTCGTGCAGGTAATCGGGTCGACGAAATAGACTCGTATTTCCAAGCTATGGGTATTCGTACCTGGGCCTTCCTCAAGTAAAATGTAAAAGGTCAGCGCGTTTTTATACCTAGTCGGACAAATTGAACGTCGGTAATTCATCGTAAGGTGTCGCGCGTGTATGGAGAAACTCGCGGAATGTTTCTAAATACCTGGCAAAAAGCCCGCGGCCTCGCAGAAGTACGAGAAGCAGAAAGAGCGAATTTACAAAGGAAAATTAATTTCATTACGCGGCACGGGGCACGCGACTCCTCCAGTCGCACGGCATTCTTCTCGTTTCCCTTCTTTCCTCTATAGAGCAGAAAGAGCGAATTTACAAAGGAAAATTAATTTCATCGGCACGGGGCACGCGACTCCTCCAGTCGCACGGCATTCTTCTCGTTTCCCTTCTTTCCTCTATCGTCTTTTGCCCTTCCCCACCATTCCACAGTTTTGTAATGCCTCTCTGTCTCTGGCACTTCCTGTGTTCCGCCACGTTCACCTGACTGCCGGCACCTGCCTTCATAACTATCTAGGTGTACACAGTGTATAGAGGCGACCGCGTATCCTATGGGACTTTAGTTTCCCCGCTCGTTCCATCGGCCACGCTTTGCTCTCTGCCTTGTGCCTACTAGCGCACACCTTCCACCTGGAAACACGTCGAGTGCGCTACGCGCAGTCGATGTTACGCTGTCGCTCACCACGGCCGGACTATCGGGCTTTTCCTCTATCGCTGATAACAGTCGCGTCTCGAACCGGCGAACTTGCGACCGACTATTAGAGTGTCCTCCGCGACCACGACTGGTTCCACCGGGTCTACGTGTTTGGATGAAAAGGTTCGAAATTATATATATATTCGTCTAAGTTATACCTCTGCCGCCTTTCGTATTCCCTTTTGTCGCCTGGTACTCTGGTACCTGGTACCCTGTACTGGAATTCTTCCAAAGGGTAACCGAAGGGATCAAAGGTCGGCTTAGACCCGGGATGCCAGGTATTAAGAACTCCATTGCGATCCACGAAACCCATTGTGATGTTCCATGAAAGGAAACACGATAGGGCGTCTTCGTTCGGATAATTTCTATTCGAATACGATCGCCATGAGTCATTGCTGTTGATACTGTTTAATAGGTGATGTTTTTGTTTTTCATGTTCTGACTGATAAGGAGGAAGAATAGGCCGCGGAACGTTCCAACGAGGATGATGGCGTAGAAGGTTTAATACCGCTGTTTCCGAGGGAGTGCGCCGAACGATCCTCTTCCGTTTTACGATCGGAGACCCGTCTCTATATTCGCGAGTTCTTGCCTCAGTGAAGGATGGTTTAGTGTAATATCGCGTTTCTGGAATCTGTAAGGTGAAGCTGCTCCATGAAGTGACTGGTTCTACTCTTCGCACGTGAAGCCGATTCGTTATCGTTGAGTTTAGTGCTCTAGAATGTCATCTGGATTTCGTAGTCGGTGAGTAATCCTTCCACACGTTTGTTAATAAAACCAACAGCGTCTTCTCTTGCTCACTGTTATGCACTGTACATTGCACAGCAGTGGATCGAAATAGAAGATCGAGTGCTTTAAAAATTTCATTTTCCGGAATCGCGAATCGTGATCGGTTCTTTTCTTCTTCTCTGCTATCGGTTCTCCTGCTTTTCGTCGGGAAAATATTATTACTGGTCGTAAATTGGAGTGTCGGGCGAGGATTTAAAGGTATCAAAGAGTACCATAAAGCATTCACGATCGATTGGAGCGATCGCTGACGGAAATCCCAGGGTCGCGATTTGAAAAACAAATTTCGTACATTGCTAGTCAGGGCAGGTAGAGAAGCCTATTGAAACAATACTCTTGCGCGTTTCTTCTCATAGGCGACTGTAATGGCGTCCCTGCTGGCGTGAATACGCACGTGTTCCGGCCGCGTTCCAAGATCCAGCAATTTCGATTCCTCGAGCTTTCCCACAACTATCCTCTGGAAATTTTATTCGCATAACGTAACACTGAATACTACTTTCGGCTCTCCTCGGTGTATCGTTAGGATAACGATCCCTGTTTCTTCCTCTTAGAGAACAAATAGATCGTTTCGTACAGCCAGAGCTAGCAAATTGCCTGTGTTTACACGTGTTTTTAAAAATCGCACGAC